ACTGTTAAAACCTGTGCATACTTTGTGGAGTTCTCATATTCTTCAGTTCCATTAATTGACTTATATTCCTCTCTAGATTGTCTAGTCTCGTTAGGATTTCATCAAACCTTTTTTCAAGGTTCTTAGTTTCTTTACATAGGGCTAGAACATGTTCTTTTAACTCACAGAAGTTTCTTATTATCCACCTTCTGAAGCCTAAATCTGGTAATGGAAAGTACTCGTTCTCCATCAGGCCTTTTTCCCTTGTTGATGAGGAACTGTGATCCCATATAGAGGGAGAGGCATTCTGATTTTGGGTATTCTCAGCCTTTTTACGCTGGTTTCTTCCCATCATTGTAAATTTATCCACCTGTCATCTTTGTAATTACCGACTTTCAAATTAGTCTCTGAGTAGATGTCCAACTTGTTGATTCCCAGCACCAGAATCTGAGCAACCCACTGCACCGGCCAAAACAGCCATGTTAAGATTCGTGGTGCTTTTCTGCCCAGGAATCTCCAGTCTGGCTTCCTTCTTGAGTCCCTTTTTCAATCAGCTGAATAGGCGACTCTGCCTTCCCCGAGCTCCAAACGTTGACCAAAAGGGGACCCAGTCCCATTTACTCTGCACCAGAGCCACAGCACTGGCCACAAGAGTCGTGCTGGTGACCTGTGGGGCTCCTCCGCTGGGAATCTCCTGGTCCGTGAGCAACAAAAATTCGTCTGAAAGTGTGGCATCCTCTCATTCTCTGCACCTTCACTGGGAGCCACAATCCTGAGCTGCTAGTAATCAGCCATCTTGGATCTCTCTCTAAGATACTTATTTCTAAAAAGGAATGTTAACTTAGTTCATTGGCATTTTTACAAACATTAAAAAAATAAATAATGATGTTGTCTCTATTTGGAGATGACATGATCTTTATATGTAGCAAACTACAACGATTCCACCAAAAACAAAACAAAACAAACTGTTACAGCTAACAAATGAATCCAGTAAAGTTACAGGATTGAAAATCAACAGGCAACAGACAAAAATCAATAACATTTTTTATATACAAATAAGCACTTAGCTGAAAAAGAAATAAAAAACACTCCCATTTAAAATTGCATAAAAAAATTCTTAGGGATAAATTTAACCAAGGAGGTGAAAGATTTATACATTAAAAATTATAAAACATTGATGAAAAAAATTGAAGACACAAATATATAGAAAAAAATTTCCTGTTACTGGATCAAAAGTATTAATATTGTTCAAATATTTATACTACCCAAAGAAATATAGAAATTTAATGCAATAACTATCAACATCCCAATGGCATCTTCACAGAAATAGAAAAATACAATTCTAAAATTTTTGTGAAACCACAAAAAAAAACAAATAACCAAAGCAGTACTGAGAGGAAAAAAGTTAAAGGCATTATACTTTCTGATTTAAAACTATATGACAAAGCTATCATACTCAAAATAGCAAGCTACTGGCATAACAACAGAAACCTACATCAATAGAACAGAATAGAGAGCCCAGAAGTAAATTTAAACATACGTGGTCAATAATTTTACAAAAGGGTGCTAAGAGGACACAAGGTGGAAAGGGTAATCTCTTTGATACATGGTGCTGAGAAAGCAGAACTTCTACATGCAAAAGAATGAAATCATATATTTATCTTACACCAAACACAAAAATCAACTCAAAATAGATGAAAGACCTAAATGTAACACCTGAAACCATCAAGAGAACTTAAGGGAAAAGCTCTCAAACATTGGTCTTGGCAATGATTTTTTGGATAACACACCAAAATCTCAGGCCAAAAGAGAAAAAATAAATAAATGAGACTACGTCAAACTAAATAGCTTCTGCACAGGAAGAAAAACAATCACAAAATGAAAAGGCAACCGACAGACTGGGAAAAAAAATATTTGTAAAGCATATATCTGATAAGGAATTAATATCTATAAATAACTCTTATAACACAATAGGGGAAAAATAACCTGATTAAAAAGTGGGCAAAGGACATGAACAGACATTTCTCCAAAGAAGACATAAAAGTGGCCAACAGATATGTATGGAAAAGTGTTTAACATCACTAATCATCAGGAATTACAAATTAAAATTACTGTAAGATATCACTTCATTCCTGTTAGGATGGCTATTATCAAAAAGACAAGATATAACAGATGTCGACAAGGGTGTAGAGAAAAGGGAACCCTAGAACACTGCTGTAAGAAATGTAGATTAGAGTACAGCCATTATCCAAAACAGTATAACCATTCTTAGGAAAATTCAAAATAGAACTACTGTATGATCCAAATTAGATAAAATCACCACCACATAAAGATATCTGCACTCTCATGTTCATTGCATTAATCACAATAACCAAGATACAGAAACAACATAAGCATCCGTATATGAATGAATGGATAAAGAAAACATGGAATGTATATACATACAATGGAATATCATTCAGCCTTTAAAAAGGAAGGAGATCATCCCATTTGTCATAACATAAATGGACCTGAAGGACATTATCCTAAGTAAAATAAGCCAGACACAGTAAAATATTACATGATCTCACTTACATGTAGAATCTTAATTTTTAAAAAAGGTCAAATATTCAGAGATAGAGAATAAAACCATAGTTTACTCTGGGCAGAATCAAGGGCAGGGGCAGGAAATGGGGAGATGCAGGTCAAAGGATACAAAGTAGCAGATAAATAGGATGAATAAGTCTAGGGATCTAATGTACATGAGGACTACGGACATTTAACAAAATTATGTTGTATTAGAGATTTTTGTTAAAAAAGGAGATTTCAGCTGTTTTGTCACAAAAATACTATGTGAAATGTTAGATATGTTAATCTGTCTTGCTATAGTAACCATTTGACTGTACATATCACATAACATTATAAGCCTCAAGTATACACCATACAAATTATTTTTCAAATAAGTAAATAAAATTCTACTTTTAGCTCAGAAAAATAAAATTAACCCTATAGGTACAAATGTGACATAGGCATGCCTACATATCCTAAATCTATTAGTATTACACTTAAATTGTCATATTGGGCCTGTGAACAGAGAACACAGGCACTATTACTAAATAATGCATTAAGTAATTACAGATATATTTAAGAACATAAAATTAAGATTTTCTGTTTTTTGGGTTTTTTTGTTTTTTGTTTTTCACCATACTGGTTCAGCCCTTGAGCTATGGAATCAAGCTATTTTTGTTTGCAGCCTGATATTTCCATGTTCTACCTGTCTAATTTTGGCAAGTTTACTTGTGTCTAATGAAAGTGAAGGTAATAATAGTATCAATTAATACTTTGTAGACTTGTGGTTAATAAATATCAACTTTACCATTATTATTATAGTTATTACTGCAGTTTTGGTGGTAAAAGACATAACTCTTCTATATGATAATTTTACAGAGTAATTTACTCATTACTTATAGATATTGCAAAACAAAATATCTTTACAGATGTTAGGTATTATCATAATTATGATACTTTTCTAATTACAAGAATAATATGTATTCACTTTTTCTGTAACATACTTTTCCAACCCACTGAACAATATTTTCCAGGCAATATTTTATGAATCTAACCACATCTTTTAAACAAAGATATACAACTTTCTAATACAGTTATAATGAATTTTTTTAAAAAATTTCTCTACTTACATGCATCTTGGAGTTACATTCTTTGGTTGTTGATGCCAGAGCACTGCTATAACCTTTTTCTTGTTTTTGTATGTTTAATATTTGTAGAAGTATTTTTTTGACCAGATGTGTATGTTGTTTTGCTGGAGCATCAGATATATGCATTTAAAATAGAAATTGATATACATTTAAACTAGCAAAATTCCTTGTTAAAAACTTTGGATTGTTTTTCCTTGCTACTTATTTACCCAAACCATCACTAACACTTGGTGTTATGAATCTTTTATTGTTTTGCCAATTTCATAAATAAAAGTTGTTTTTATTATATTGATTTGCAATGTAATGATAAGGGACGTAAGTGGCTTTAATTTAGTGGTTATTTACATTTTGTTTGAATTGTCTATTCACTTCCTTTTTCAGTTTTGTCCTCTACTGATTTTTTAGAAGCTCTTTATTTGGGTATGTTTTATCATCTCTGTGTGACAAACATTTCCTCACAGACTGATTTTTTCTTTGCTTATGGTATATTTTCTTATGCAGAAGTTTATATCTTGATTTAGTCAGATCCATTGAGAATATCCTTAACAGTTTATGAATTTGTATTCTTTTTAAAGGTTTTAATTTCAAGATTATAAAATAGTCCCTCATATTTTTTTTAATCTTACAACTTTATACTTAAGGTTTTTTTATGTATTTTCCTGGCCTCTGTATTCTGTGCTGTGAGGACAGAGGAATGAATCTGCTCTGATAGGCAGTTTGGCAGACTATGACAGATGTGCCACAGAATCCCAGAACTGAAATTTTTATTCTTACGAACAGCAGGAAGAGGGACATTGTGAACCAGCAGACACATGGAGTTTTTTTTGTGTGTGTCTATCTCTAATAACATTTGTTGAATATCTACCATTAGAAAAACTATTCATTGAATAAACACCAGGCTCAAGTATCACATTAAAATATTACTAAAAATACAATTTTATGGTATATTAATGTAACTTTTGGAATGAAATTCCTAAAGAACATACATGTAAAATGTTGAGCTCTTCATAAGGAGTGATACATTTTTTTTCCCCAGCTCTCTGAAAGTTTTTGCCTTTTAAAAACTAGTATTCATCTTTTTAATCTCTTCAAATATGCTCGACCCCTCCCCAAATTCTAGCGTTAAAAAATGTGCCACAAATGCAAAAAATGATGACAGCTAGGGAGCATTTTAGCAGAATTTGAAATAGGTGGTTTAAATTTTACTGTACTGAAATCCTAAAGAATCAGCCCAATTCATTTCTTAGTGAAAAAGTCCAACTTAATGCTTTGTGCCTTCAGATTCAGGCCTTTTCTTATCTGATCTCTTCTTGGTTTGTGTCTCAGTCTTCGGGAACCAGTATTACTGTGGATATAGCCGTGATGGGCGAGGCCCACGGCCTCATTACCGACCTCCTGGCAGACCCTTCTCTTCCACCAAATGTGTGCACATCCTTGAGAGCCGTGAGCAACTTGCTTAGCACACAGCTCACCTTCCAGGCCATTCACAAGCCCAGAGTGAATCCCGTCACTTCCCTCAGTGAAAACTATACCTGTTCTGACTCTGAAGAGAGCTCTGAAAAAGACAAGCTTGCTATTCCAAAGGTAGGTAATAATGACATACTCCTTAAAGGGTTAAACTGTTTTTAAAAAAATTGTCTTCTAGGTCTCCTTCCTGTCACCCCAACTCCATCTGCGAATTCCTATCAGTGACTCAGGCAAGATGTGTTGATCATGCTGACAAAAGTAACAAATATTTAAACATAAAGACTTCTGTCCTTATACCTGATAGTTTTCTATATATAAAAAATTTATCTTTTTATGTTAGTTCTTTTATTTAATCTTTCATGTTACTTGCAAACATTTTTCTATATGCCAGGCTCTTTTCTAAGATGGTAAGGGTATTGCCATAACAAAAAAAAAACGAAAAGGCAGAAATCCTTGCTCCTTTCTAGTGCAGATTCTGTTTAAAATCCATTGACTCCTAAAACTGAAGGTTGCTTTACTCTTATTTTCTTGAATGATATACTTCAAAATACCTCTTGACTTTCCAATACACAACCACGTTTGAACCCAGAACAGTTTTAGTCAATTATAGAGTATTTAAAGTAAAAGATGTCCTTAGTGATTTCTATAAATTCATAATTTATATGTAAAAAGGAAATTACACAAATGTATTATTTTTATATATATATGGTATGAGTATTACAAAAGCAAATTGTAAGAGGATGCTCACCCATTTTAGATCTCAATATAGATTAAAAATAAGGCATATTAAAGGCTAAAAAAATCAGAGTGTCATTGGACTCTGGTATTTTCAGCACGGTCACTTATGTAGTAAACAAGCAGCTGTCCTTTTGAGCTGGTAGTCAGTAACATCTGTGTTTCTGCTATTGTGAGTCCCTCAGGAGTGTGATCTTCATAACTTTATCAATTACATATTTACGTACTTTCTGTCTAATGTGCAATTCCCTGATATAGATATACTAAGTATAATATGACAGTAAGGAAATGGAGAGAGAGATTAACTGGTTCCTTCAGGTCTCAAATTAGACCTGAGTTCAGTGACAGATTTAAGGCCAGAAAGCTGGTATTTAAGAGTGTTTGACTTTTTCTCTTCCAACTGAATTACCTTCTAAGATGCACATTCAGATCTTTAAGAGATACTAGAAACTATTTAGTATCAGAGCTATTCTTAAATCCCAAGGTGACATATAATTCACTTCTCAAAATTTTTTACCTTCTTCAGAAGAGCAGAATGTCTTTGTGAACTACGCCTATGCGGTTGGTTTATTAGGAGTGATTAGCACAAACAAAAGTGGGTTGTGGTTCTGTCTATTATGACTGTTGGTGAAGTTGTAGAAAAAATACCTTCAGTTTAACTTTTTTTTTTTTTGAGATGGAGTCTTGCTCTGTTGCCTAGGCTGCAGTGCAGTGGCACAACTTCAGCTCACTGCATGTTGGCCAGGCTGGTCTCAAACTCCTGACCTAAAGTGATCCGCCCGACTCAGCCTCCCAAAGTGCTGGGATTACAGGTGTGAGCCACCACTCCCGGCCCAGTTTAACTTTTAAGGTCCAGATCTGCTTTAGAGTATTGGTGCTCATCCTAGTGATCCCAGACTCTTGCCGCAGTACACATGATGCTACATATCCTGCTTAGGATATTGGGGAGATGAAATAAGAAGGGGAAAAGTAGGTTGACCAGCAGGGTCTCCTATTAAGAGGTGTTGACACTATTCATATCTCTGATGTCTAAGTTACATTAATCATAAGAGAAGTGGTGCATTTTATGAAAGACTTACATTCTTACACTTAGCTCCTTTCATTTGTAAATGAAGATAATATAGTCAGTATACTTGGGGTGTAGACTAGGGTGCAAGATGATATAAATTAATCCATGCCCCCAAGCAAGTGACTTTTGAGGAAAAGCTTCTCATAACAAGGAGTATAATAGATACGTAAATCCTGTTGAATAAATATAACTACAAAATTATCTCAGAGGTAATTGACACTCACTCCTGTAATCACATATTTGTATAAGCATTGAAATAAATACCCCCAAATGTTATTTTTATATGCATTCATTTTAGCCAGAGTCTTTTATTAAATTTCTGAGCACCCAAATTTTAGATAGGTGGTATTCAACCAATATAATTTAATCAATTAACTTCTCATTAAAAGCTCATTTCCTTCTATGATATTCCACACAAATTAAGAAATATAAAAAAAGCTTGGTAATGAAGTTAAGTCTCTTTCCTAGCGCCTGAGAAGGAGTCTGCCCCCTGGCTTGTTGAGACGAGTTTCTTCCACTTGGACCACCACCACCTCAGCCACAGGTCTACCCACCTTGGAGCCTGCGCCAGTTCGGAGAGACCGCAGCACCAGCATCAAACTGCAGGAAGCACCTTCATCCAGGTGACATATGGCTCTCGCTGGTTTAATGTCTCTTAGAGAAGTTACTTGCCAAAAATGAGTTATAAATTACCGGAGAAGGAAGGCCAACCAATTACATTTGGTTGGAGGTCAGCTTTGAAAATGGAAAGGGTGCGTGGTTTAAATGCAGAGCTGTATGGGAGTTAACATCAGATAATCAGGCTTAACGTCTGTTGTGTGGCCTTAAATTTAAGTGGAAAGAATCACCTGAGCTGATCTCTGCCATTGTGACCTTAGATGGGAAAGGTTAAGCCCAGGATAAAGGTAGGCTAATTTTATCTACATTGAGATTCATGTTGAGACCCTTAAATCAAAAGCATCTAACTTGACATTTGCAATTGATATGAGATGCCCCTAGCCCAGTCCTTAGCCTCCCACAAGACCAGCTGTCTTAGCTTTGGACAAAAGACAAAAGAGCAAATCAAAAGTAGGTCATACTAAGAACACCTAGATATGTTCAAACATTTGATAATTTAAACTTTCCTGAGGATATTAATTCTAATTTTTCAAAGCAACTTAAAAACTAGAATTATCAAAACTAAAGAAAAGGTTATATTAACATCTAAAAAGTATTTTGAAGAAAATAGCCAAGGAAAGTGCATTTAGAGGGAGATACTGGGTCCCTTTCTATTTAGAATAAAAATGTTATACTTATCATACTTTATTCAATTCATTAATTGTGAGAACATTTACCATATGATTTCAGGTTTTAGAAACACATATATCAGTTTTATCAATGACCTAATGAATGAAAATTGTCTACATCTATGTCATATTACATGATAGCAATAACAGAAGTACTTTTCTCCTGATCTTTGCCTGGGATATAAATAAACCAACATACTGAGTCTAATAGAAATATTTCAGATTATAAGAATTTAATGACTGTTGACTTTTCTTGCCTTTTTGATTAAAATTTTTTAATTGGTTTCTTCCATATTAATATTTGTGTTCTAATAAACCTATAGAATTGGAAGCAAACTCAAATGCCATTATATATTTTATATGTCAGTATAATTCCACTCCAACCTATTACTGGGACTTTTGTAAAACCTGTAAACAATACAAGAAGAGATTATGCAGTGTTTCATGAAGATTTTCTGAAGTTCGAAACAGAAGTCAATGGTAATATTTTTCTCTAAAAATATTGATCATTGACAATTTCTACAGCAGCAAATACTGATAAATGTTAATAGTATTATGGTTAAATATTGGTTAATAAAATGAATTATGTTTTCAGTGTGTATCATCAGAGTGTCTACTTTGCCAATGCACCTTGCTAAATTTCCTTTCATAGTATAGGTAATGCTTCATGATTTCCTTTCCATAGAATGACTCTATCAAAAATCTACTCATGCTTTCTCAAATGTCTTCTTTCTTTCTGTTATTCTTTGTTAATTCTAGTCAAATCTTATTTCCCCTCCCTGTCTCTTCTCTTAGTCAGTTAAATGAACTTGAGAGTTTAAATTGAAATCATGACAAAGCAAAAAGTTCTAAGAACTTTTAAGAACTTAACACCCAAGGATCTTGTCATTCTTCTTTGTAAAACTGATACATCCAAATATTTACAATAGATATAAGGAATATCATATGATTCCATCCATTCTCATTCTCTCGTCCTAAAAATACTCATAGATATCTTACCTGGGTATATGTTTTCATCACTGCCTAATATATTATCTCATAATCTCACTGTCCTGCGAAAAGTTCTGATGTAAAATCTGAAAGCAATATAATTTCTTCATCATTGTGAAGAAAGGAAATTCATTCTGAGTAGAATTTGATCCCTTTAAGGGAAAACCATTTATTACTAAGTGGCAGTAGTACCACCACAAAATACAACTAGTTTTGGCTTGATTATAAACCAAAGTTAAAACCTTCTTTTGAATTTTGGCCCTGAAATTTCTTCCCTTTTAACCCATTTATTTATTCCTTTCCATATCTGTTCATTTATTGGGTCTCTTTGAGAACGGACATTGATCAAAAGAATAACAAGAATGAGAACTAAAAATTAGAAATGCAACTTATATCCCTTTACATATACAATTGGATAATTTACTACTGGGTAATTTTAAATACAGTCTGGTAGAAAGGACACTGGACTGAGAATCTGAAGGGGCTTGGTCTTAGCACTCAGAAATGTATTATGTCGTTAGGAGCAAGTCATTAACCTGCCAGAATCTCTGTACCCAACCACAAGGAGTCATTAGGAAAAGGGGAACTATGACATAATTGGAGGGGTAAATTAGATGGAAGAATACAAGTAGGTGCTTACAAAATAGGCTTTAGAGAAATAGAAAAAGCTGAAATAAATCAGACCCTAAATCATTCCAAGTTGACCTTGCAATTGACCCCTGCCTGTGTATCTAGGCAAAAAGAAAGCTGTAACCTTAGCAAAAGAGACTGTTACCTGATCAGACTTTAAGGACTTAGGATGGAGTCATAAGAGGATAATAAGAGCAAAAGACCACCTTTGGGAAGAGGAATGAGCTCTTCCATCACAAGCACATAGACAATTTTCCTCTGCTGTGCCAGTGTGAAGAAACCATGTAAAGGCGTCTATAAGCTGTTCTCCTTTACAGGATCCAAATTATTTCATATTCATGAAATCTAAGCCAGAATCAGGAAATAAGGGCCAATGAAAAGCTGAAAACTATCATGAGGGTCTCACAAAGCCATATATGAAAGCACCTGTAAACTATAGTGCATTGATATAGAATATAATACATTGACTTATTGTTTCATTAATAGTAAAATACAATTAATATTTACTGTATTAATGGGATGTGATTAGGATGTTATTTATCTTGAGTTCATTAAATTCACATTCATTAAGATATTCTAACATATTTTGCAAACTTTAAAATGAACACATTTTAAAAGTTTTTATTTGAACAATTTACTATTCAACAATTTATTTGAATAGCTAGCCTTCATAATATATCTTTCTGAATAATATTAGGCATTGTCTTTTAAAAGTCAACTTAGAAAAGTAAAAGTAATAACCTATTCACTATATATAATGTATTGAGAACTGCAAACATTGAGGCCACATATACATTACATAATATTTCTTCACAGTAAATCTTTTCAGTTAATCAGTCCAGCAAAATGAATTAAAAGGGACCAACACCACCAGAAAATCGTCAGTGTAGTTCTCTCTTTCAGATCCAAAGTTTTTTTCATTTCATTATTTCCTAAATGTCAAGAACTTGCGAAATACCTAGGATGTGCTTTCTGAAAAGGAAGTCAAACAAATATTTTTGTGCCTCACTTAATTGCATTGTATAATTGCTGAAGGTCATACCACATTTCAAATGTCCTCACATATGGAAAACTGCTGTAAGAAGTAAGGAGAAAAGATAACGTTTTTAACTACATTGGTCAATAGTTGAAAAAAATCTTTCTAAGATGGAAAAAAAATTGAGATAACAAGTGTTAGAGTGTCAAATTGACCTCAACTGAAATTACAGATCTCACCCATTGCCGAATTTACTAGTAATCAAAGGATACAGACAATAGCAAGACACATGTTTAGCATTCTTTCCTTTGAGAGGTCTGTTAGTGCAATTCCCTGAAAGTCCCTTTATTCCACATGTTCTGGTTTGGATTTAGCATGCAGGGTTTTAAGCAATGCATACATAATATTACTTGCACAGAGGGAACCATTTTAGCTCTGGAACCTCTCCAAATTATATCCTCTTAATTATACAGCTGATATGGCAATCTCCATGCATCCATGAGCCCCTAATTCTATCAATTTCAGGTTTATTTACAGTAAGCCACCCAGACAGAGGAGGCACATCCTGCTTACATTGCCAATCTAAGATTGGCAAAAGATCAAACTGTCAAATCATATTTGTATAAATTATAGAATGTACCCAGTACCAAATTTACTAGTTCTTGAAAGGACACAGGTGTTAGCAAAACACAGACTAAGCACTTTTCCCTTGGAGCAGTCCAAGATTGTCAATACAACTTTCTAAATTCCTTTTCTCCCAAATTAGTATGGAGTCTATTTCAGATTCAATATGTAAATTTTGAGCAACACATACAGAGAAATTTTGTCTTGGAATACCTCCAAAATTTATATCACATTAATTGCATGACTTACATAACCTTCTCTAGCTCAACCTTCCATGAATCTGTTAATATTCATTCCACATTTATTTACAATAAGCAACCTAGGCAGACCAAGTACACCCTGGTCAAAGCATTTGCTAGATGAAGATTCTCCATTATCTTTCTCCTGGTACGTATCATCAACTCCATTATTAGCATGTCCCTTTTAACAAATTCCCTTGAAAAAGATATGATGCAGTATTTTTTCAACATGAAAAAATATTCTCTTTTTATAAGGGAATTTGAATGGATCATCACTTTTTTTTTCTAGGTTATCACCAGTAAAGAGAAATCGTAAGCTAAAGACCTGCTGTTAACCATTTCCTTCACAAGGAAATACTGCAAAAAAAAAACATTATTTTTGAATGATTTTGTGGTCAATTTTTGAATACAGATGCACCAAAAATAATAGAGTACTGAAGTAAGCATTATGACACTTACAGTTTATGTAAATTCACCTGCATCTTAACCTTAATCTGCAAGTCTCTTTTAGAAAATCTGCAAGGAACATAATTCTAGAGTACAGTGAGAAGGTGTTAATTATTATTAATTGGAATATAAGAAAGTTATCTTTCCTGTTTCTTAACCCAGCATGCTTGATGAGTAACTGCTATATCCCTGCAACAGAGATTGTTTTTATGTAATCTGTTTCATCATTGGGAAGTACAGTGATTCTGTCACTGAACCTGAACCAACACTCAGATTGGCAAGTCTATTACAGAAATGATGTTTGGGTTCTGGCAAGATTGGCCCAATAACTGATGAATAATTTCTTGAATTTTCTTTTAATCCTGTGTTTATGGTGCTGTTAGTCCTGATTCTTGGAATAATCCAGGGATGATGACCCTCACCAAAAGCAGATCCTTCACTTCGTCCTATGCTGTTTCTGCAGCTAACCATGTAAAGGCTAAAAAGCAAAGTCGACCAGGTAAGTAACTTAACTGGAGAAGGGTTACTGTGAGTGTGGAGTCATAGAGTAAACCAGACCTTAAGCGTTGAAATATTCCAAGGGTCTCCTATATTCGGATATGTTTGGTTTGCCTGTTCTAATAATCGGTTATTTTTAAAAGCCTCAATAACCAATTAGTTATTTAAATTTCCACCTATGTGATGACACTGATTCCTTCACAGTTGCTGTACAATATTTTCTATCTTGAACTAATTAGATGCATAGGAAATCACTTTTACCATCAAGGATAATCTCCAGAAGCATCATCTCATAATAGAAATTCCAACTTTATTTTTAGTGTCTATTAAAATTACCTTTCAGGAGTATGATATTTATAAGTTCAAGGAAGTGTTTCATTTACTACATATGAGCTATGATAAGGAATTTAAATATCAAAAATTTAAGAGTAAAAAAGCTTTAGATAGGAAGATGAAATGATATGGGGGAAGATTAACCTCATGTGTTCAGGGTCTGTGCTCACCCAAAACTATAATAGGAGTTTTTGTCAGATTCTATCTCTGAATTGCCTTTCTCTTTAGAAGCCCAATTAGGAATCTTAGGTATTTCCTCTGATCTTTCCTTTTTGGAATCTAACTTCACGGTTTCACTTCTCAGTATTAGAGAAAACATCAATGATTTTTTCAGAAACTTCCTGATTAATCTACTGCCTTTAGCAGTTTAAGGGTTCATCAAATGGTTAAAAGGAAAACTGCCTACTTCCCACTGAGATATGAAACATTCAAATTCTGGCTGCCATGGCAACCCCAAACTCCAATTTTTGTCATCAGCCTCATGACATTGCTAAAAGCTCTGCTGGCCGCCTCCCAAATAGCTGCACCCCTCTGTCTGGATCCTCCACTTCTTGCTCCATGCCAATAGTCAGTAAATAATGCTTTGAAGGGAAAAACACTTTGCAGGATTTTGGCTCACCTTTTTGGGATTCTCTTCTTCATGAGAACCTAGTCCCTCAGAATTGTGTGCTTTACCTTGATAGCTTTTTTTTTGTACCATTTTATTGGCATTACATCAGTGAAAGAAACCATTAAGGTAATCTGGTTTTCCAACAACTAATCTGGTCCTCTCCGCTCTTTAGAAATGTTCATTAAATTTTATCACTTTTAGAAGTCATTAACGACCTGCTAATAAAATTGAGTTTTCACCAGGGTCAGGCAATGTAGGATAATGTAGGCAAATACTTAAATTGAGATATCCCTGAGGACAAATGCAGATTAGCTCACTAATAAGGAGAATCATCTGGGACTCCAGCAAGGTGGAGAAACTGTATTTGAGAATTCCACATTAAACCTGAGACTCTTAAAGGCACACTAAAGTGGACTAAGGTGGTTTTGGGTAGGACCACTTGGCTCCCTATAAAAATATATGCAGATAATTTTGGAAGGAAAACATCATCAATTAAGGGCCATGAGATTTTATCAGATCATATTCAAACATGGAGCTTACAACCAGGATCACTAATTGCACAAAGAAACACCATGAGTTTGATTTAACAGAAACAAACAACTTTCTAGATCTGTAAGAGGGTCGAAATAATTAAATTGAAATTCAATTTAAAAATTTACACATTTAAGGAAAAATAATAGCCATGAGAAAAGACCTAACTGCAGAGCAGCTAAATATGCCTTTTTAAATGTAGGCAAGGAAATATTAAATAGCATAGTAGACTACTGAAGAGAGAATTAGCAAACTGGGTAGAGAAAGATTTGAAGAAATTATCCAGAATGCAACACAGATGAAAATGGGAAACTCTAATAGATTTTAAGACATATTCAAAAATTAGAAAGTCTAATATACATAATATATGTAATCGTACTTTTAGTAGCAGATGGAAGACATGAAATACTTAGGAGGAGCCTAGTAAATGGAAAGAAACTCACACGTAGATACAAAATAGTCAAACTACATAACACCAAAGATACACACACACACACACACACAAATCCTAAAGTCTACCAGAGAAAAGACAAATTTCCTTTTCAGGAAAAGCAGTAAGACTGAAAGCAGAATTATCAGAAATACTGGGAGTCAGAACACAGTAGAATATTTTCTTCAAAGTTCTGAAACAATATGATAGCCTAAAATTTTGTGCCTGGCAGATTCATCTTACAAGAATAGGAGTGAACTAAAGTCAATTTGAAAGAAGTCGAAACATTACCACCTGCCAAATCTTTACTGAAGGAATTTATAATGGATATATTCTAGAAAGAAGAATAATTGAAAGTTTGAGATCTAATAAAAATGTTAAACAAATCTGAAAACAATGGGTCAATCCAAACAAACATTAAATTCATAAATAATAGTATTTCCAGATTTGTGAATAGTTTTTATAAGATTTTTTAAGGACAGAGCTAAAATTTCAGACAGCCATAATATGTAATTCAAGAGATGACATATAAATTTAAGTGTTCTAAATCTGTGTGTAGTTCAGAAAGGGGGTTTAGATGAGGAAACTGAGGAAAAAGAAGGTTAAGTGACTTGCTAATGTATTAATCCTGAATACATTCTTTTATCCTAATGACTTCATACTAGAAAACGTGAGGATGACAAATTGTCATAATTTAAAATTAGGATATTTTGGGTTCTGTACTTGGCTGGGTACAAGATAATAGGAGGATTTGGTTTTCTCACCCTGTTTCTTCAGTTGAGTAATAACATAAAAATTATTGAGTAACCAACATGATAAGATCAAGAAGGTGAAAATTATGGTTAGGGCACACACTGGAAATAACAGAGCAAATGATGGAACAGCCTTATATTCCTGTGTCCTGCTCCCCAGTTTGTATGACAGATTCTAGAAAAAAGAGCAAAGTGTAAAAGGAAAGGAATGTTCACATAAGATACTACACAGACAGATGGTAGGAATTAGAGCCACAGGCATAGCAAGAGCCCCTTTCCATTCTTGCCATCAGGTGCATAAGGTGTTTTCATCATCATCATTTTGGAGAGGCTTTTGCATTGTGGCATCTTTAGACAGCTGTCACAGCACAGCTAAATGTTTATAAAATAACCTATATCCCATGCCGAATCCAACTAATTAAATTCCTAAAGGTCTGCCAAAAGAGACAAAAACATCTATCAAGAATCAGAGGGCTGAAAAGAGATAGCAACTCTCCCTAATGAGACGGGAGCTTCTGCTTTAAAATCCTTGCTTCCCTGTTTGGGTTGATGGAGCTAAGTGGTTGTGACATGTTTGATGCAGTTGACTGTGATGCATCCTGGTTTTCCATAAACTAGGAAAGGAGCTGGAAGAGCCCCCTTGTGGCAAAGAGTGTAAGCAAATGGAATCAAATGTAATGTGAGGAGTCTGAGGAAGCATGTAAGCAACAGGCAATAAGGTGAAGAGGAAGCAAGTATGAAGTAAGAAGAGACATACTGAAAGATAAATACTCTGTTTCTAGAGAGGACTAATGAAATTTGTTCTTTGCGCAGATCAAGTAAACAGTGTGTCCTCTAGTTCAGTCAATCAATGATAATTTTAAATAGCTGAAACACAAATTATTATTCAATTACTAATATAAAATAAATGAATGAAATCACATAGGACTCCTTTAATTAAAGCTTAAAAGCAGGAGGTTCAAATATAATTTATGTTTTCAATTTTGCTCTTCTAGTATGAGTCACTGACATTGTGGAGCTACCATGATATTATTCTGCTTTAAAAACGCCTTGAATTTATAGTTACTTGATTTGCAGTAGTCCTTTCCCAGATTCTTGTAAGTTTGGCTGCCCATTGCAGTGACAACAGGTATCTCTACACCTGTAATCTAGACTCTCTTTTTCCTATACAAAATTTGAAATGATAGAGAACTTCAGCTATAGTATTGGGACTCTTTTTCTTTGGCATTGTTTTAGATGCAATTTCTGTTTTGGAAAAATATTTGGGCTGACCATTTTCATCTGGGCATGGAAAAAAGAGATATCTTTATCAGACAAGCTGGTTCCTTTTCTGTTCAATTAAAATTAAACTGAGAGAGTTTTATAGCACAAAACAGATGGATTCACTTAAATAATTCCCCTGCAGTATTGTTTATTTTCTCTCATTGATTGCCCAAAATTCCTTGTGTCTTGACAGACATTTTCTCATGCTCTCAGGAACAAGGAATTAAAGTCAGAATTACTCAAAGGAGTTGGCATTTTAGGCTTTATTTTTAAAATTGTATTTTTAATTTTTTGTTTTTCAGTGTTTTGATTTTAAATATTTCACATTAGGACAGTTTGAATCATTCAAAAATTTATATTTCATGAGCTATATCTTCTTCCTGGAATCTGCTAAAATTACTCAAATATAAAGTGAATGTAAACATTAATATATTTGAGAGAATGCATGTTTATCTGAATCCCTTCACTTGTGTGTATGCAAATGTGTGAGTGTGCGATATTAAATTAGATGAGACTTTTAAAGGTTCTAACAGTCATCCCTCTGACTTTAGACATGATTACATTGAAACCTTTTTAGAAAATTTGTTTTTAAAGGTTTCCAAATGTTATTCCTCCCAGTTCCTCTGATGGTCCTCTTCCTGTAACTGAAATCATTTATGTATAGTATTTATAGTTCATCCGTTCTATAAAAAAAATTTGGTTATTATCTGCATTTATCTCCCTATCTTTCTGAAGACTGATATGTGTAAATATGCATGCACATCCTAATTCTTCCTGTTTTTTTAAACTTTAAGTAAACTATAATAATGCACACTGGGATGGTTTGGCTTTGGAAGAAAAAAGAACGTATACTTTAATAGCTTTAGCTTCTCACCTGCAGAATAAAGATATCCCTGCTTCTCAGGTTCGTTGCCAAAAGTTGTGCTTCACCCAGCCTGGAGTGTAGCAGTGGCGCCATCTCAGCTAACGGAAACCTTCACCTGCTAGGTTCAAGCAATTCTTCTGCCTCAGCCTCCCAAGTAGCTGGGAATACAGGCATGCGCCACCATGCCTGGCTAATTTTTGTATTTTTAGTAGAGACGGGGTTTCACCATGTTGGCCAGGCTGGTCTCGAACTCCTTACATCAGATGATCTGCCCACCTTGGCTTCCCAAAGTGCTGAGATAACAAGTTTGAGCCAATGCGCCCGGCTGAATTATGCTTTTGATAGTGTTCAAAATATGTAAGCTAATACTACAGAAGAGCTTCTCTTTTACAGGTTTATTTTAAATTTCATCCCAGCCAGTACATTTGGTATCTTAAAATCTGCTTGCTTGTTTAAATTTAGTTAATCCATGAGTTCCAAGAACTCTAATGGTGTGTGAATTTTTAAATTTGTGTTTGAAAGTGAATTGCATGTATCTGAGGCATCAGCTGGCAGCTACTAAAACTTAGCAACGAAAAAAATCATTCTCATAAACTGCCTTCAGAAAATACATGGTGTCAAGACAGAAATGGACAATGTTCTCATGGGCTTTGAACTATTGTTCTATTAAAAAAAATTGTGTAGAAAACTGTCCCCAAACTCACAGCTTACTATCAGAATAACTAAGGAATTGCCTAACACAGTGTCTATCAGGAATCTCTTTTTCTTTTTCTTTTATTTTATTTTATTTATTTATTTTTTTAGGAATCTCTTTTTCTTATGACACAGCAATTACTTTGAATTGCTGTTTTTGCAATTACTTTTTATTGAAAAAAAAAATACAATTACTTTTGCACCAGCCTAATAAAACTTTGCCCTGGGCCTACCCAACCCTAACCAGACTTGCCCAGCAACCTCTCTGACCACATCCCCTGCCCCTTTTCCTTTTTTTGCTAAGCTGCCAGTCTGACCTCCTGACTGCTCCTCTGACCACCCCCTCCATGTCCATCTTTCCTGAACATGCTTTCCCCAGATACTTATCTACATGTCTTGCTTATTTTATAAGGCCTCCATTCAAATTTTACCCACGCCCACCCCTTCCCAACCAGAGAGGCCTTCCTAGACCATCTTATCTAAAGAGCATCTCTTCTTCTCTGCCTTCTACCCCATGCATTGTTTTCTTCCAATCACTTGAATTTGTTAACTTTTCTTTTCTTCCTTTTTAATTAACTTTTATCTTTTAGTTTCTGTCTCTCCTAAAAAAGTGGGAGCTCCATTAGTGCAGGGATTTCATTTTATATCCTACTCCACCCATGGAGCAAGACTCACAATAACTACTTGTTGAATGAATAAATCATTGCGATTCCAATACAGATGCTTTGGTAAACAGTCTGCCACATCATACTAGGATTCAGCTCCTTAAGAGTTACAGTGCCTTCCTAAGATTATCTGGAGTCCCTTTCTAAATCCAAAAACTAGTCAGAATGACACCAATCCTTTTCAACCTTTACATCAGAGCACCCATATGTGTGTAGTAATATTTGTGACTATCATAGCGACAGAGAAATGGGAAGGGATTTTGAGTTTGAAAACTAGATTTCCTTTATTTTATAAAATTATAATGAGAAAATCTAATTATAAACTATTAGAGATAACATTAAAAATTGAGTTTATTCTAGAGTTTCCAAATAAAATATTTTTTTAAAAAATTTGCAACCATTAAATAATTCACAGCAAACGCTTCCCATAATGATACATTGTCTGGGAAATTCTGAGTTAAAACCTTTGTCAACTTTTCTTTTTTGGCTCGGGAGACTATGTAATGTGAAGGATTGTCGTTATCTTTGGAAAAGTGTTTTTTTTTAAAAGAAGTAGAAATTGAAATAAAAACCATAAGTCATGACATAAGGAGCAATGCAAATGCTGCCTAATAGGTCATGAGTTTTACTTTCCCCTTGGGTAGTCTCTGATAAAGGTGCTGGTTTCTAAACCACGTTTTACTAAGAATAGCTAGGTTTACTCTGTATTCTCCCATGTACCAGTACTGTGACTCTGGGAGGGTTTTTTAACTTGTCTGGGTCTAAGTGGTTTCATTTGCTTAATAGAAAAGCTGGGAGGGGTTTGAGCTGCTGATTAGGAATTAACAATAATGTGTTGGAAAGAACTACAGGGGTTGTTGCTCTTCACACTGAAGCAAGGGGAGAGTGAGATTTCTCATCTTTAACAACTACAACAAAAATAACAGTGCAAACAAGAAATTAAAAAGAAAATTGCACTCGCTCACACAAAATCCCTCAGCAACTTTAATATTCTTTTCAGTGGACCAGAAAACCTTTGGTGTGACAGTTCAAACTTTTGAGGAAGCTAGACCCTGGAAGCAAACTTTGCTGAAAGCCAGCTGCCAGCTAACCACACACATAATTCCATGATGTGAAGGTGGATGGCTGTAAATTTTCCTAAGTGGTGAGAAACAGAGAATGACTTTTAATAATTTCATTTCATTTGCCCCACAGTACATTGTTCAGCCGTAAAATCAACAAAACCTGTAAGCAGGTTGTTGGCCAAAAGTTATTTCTCTCCTTTTTTCCATTTTAAGCACAGGGTGCCTTCTCTGTGGTTGGGAGAAAGTAACTTCAAAAGGCATTGTCCATGTCAAAGCTACACTTTGAAATCTAAGCCAGTGTCCTGTAAAATTCTCACAATCTAGAGTAAATACAGACGGTTTGGCACAAATACCCACACTTGAAGTGGAGGATTTAGGACTATTGTTTGACCTGAAATGGATTATGTTACTACATTTTAAAATGTTTTCTTCAAAAATTATTTTGATCAAAACACTCTTTCACACCAAAAGGTCTTGCTTCACTGAAACTGTGAATGGTTAAGAATGTTAATTTCCTCTCAGTAATGTATCTTCTTTATTTACATATTTTAAGCATCTGTTGCCTGGTGAACTCTGCCCCAGATACTGGTTAATGTTTAAAACAATAGCAGATCCTGTTCCTGCTAAAACCTTCACAGCCTAAGAGAAAGTAAACACATGAGAAAATTTTAACTATCATTTCCATGTCAGAATGACAAGAAGAAACAAAAATAGGAGGACAAAATAATATTCTTCTGTCCTGAAGTTACTCCAGGACACCAAGGCTTTGGCTGTATGTGCCAACATTGCCACTGATTTTTTTTATGATGATTCATTCCTCCCACTTAATGCTGTGAAGACACCCCAACCACACTGGCTCCAGATGTTGGTATGTGGAGGAGGCCAGCCTGGTGACCTGAGCAGGCACATGGTTGTTATTGAGTTTATAAGGGTCCAGGTGAAGTTCAACAGTTGCAATATTGCATTTTAAAGACATTTGTTTAGTTACTTAACTCTCATTCTTTCTCAGGTGCCCTCGCTAAAACTTCACCTCTTTCATCGCCCTGCTCCTCACCTCTCCAAGGAACTCCTGCCAGCAGCCTAGTCAGCAAAATTTCTGCAGAGCAGTTTCCAGAATCTGCTGACACAACTGCCAAACAAAGCCTAGGTTCTCACAGGGCCTTAACTTATACTCAGAGTGCCCCTGACCTATCCCCTCAAATCCTGACTCCACCTGTTATATGTAGCAGGTAAGGATTCTTTATGAACAGAAGTTTAATAATAAAACCATTGATAGTTTTCCCCTAGAAATACCTACCACCAGCCCACAAAGCTTGAGGTAGGTTTGCCAAAGTCGTTGACAACCAAGAATGGGATAATGTGATTTCTGTTGAATAGGCTACAATAAAAACTTATGTTTTAGTAATTTTCTATTAACAAAGATAGAATCCATGCAGTTCATACAGCTAATCTTTAGGGAGGATACACGATTATTAGCTGTATATGTTGTCTGTTTCCTGATGGAGAATGTAGAAAAAAATGTGACGAAAAATGATATCAATTATTCTGTTATAATTCTTCATTTTGTTGCAATGTTTGTACCTGTTCTCCAAACATGTTACATTGATATTAGCCGTATTTAATCTTAGGATTGCATTTCCCATTTTTACAATTTAAAAATATGTGAATAATATATTGCACAGGATGGCTGGACTCACATAGTTCTCTGAATGCAATTTAAACAACTGTATGTGCTATTCTGTCATATTGAAACAAAATTATAAAATGTTATCTATCACATCAGTTGAGAAAAAATGGCTGGAGTAATTATTTTCCCAAGGTTGTCACTAAGAAAGAATTATGTCTTCTTACTGGTTAATGTGCTTTTATTGTTCTTAAGTAATAGCTTGAATAATTTATCTGAAGGCATTATGGTATTATTTAAGTAGAAAAACAGTTGGGTGTTTTTCTAGTTACTACGAGAGTACCTTGAATAAAATAGTATTTCATTTCTGAGGTTAATGAGGATAACTATTTGAATAAATGAGTAACATGTTGGTGTTCTAGTATCAAATATGACTTCATAGACCCAGGTTTTATCAATATATTCAGTTTTAACAAATAGCAACTATTATTAAGCCTCACAATTTTCATTTTTATATTTTTTAGTCGGAAGCTCTGTAAATTAAATAAATGTTGTTTATAATTTTTGTTTTTACTTCCTTTCTCTTGACAATTTTAAATAAGAAATTATTTTCATTTGTTTGCCCAGAGCCAAAGTTATTCTACTATGCAAAAGTTATTCGGCTGCCCTCTATGAGTTGTTTTTAATAAAATGATTTCTGTGGGATATTAATCTCATCTCTTTTCCACAAAAAAGCAAGCTCTATAGTAAAATATTGAGAAGATATATCATACTTTACTCTTAGAGATTCATAACACATATGGCTTTATTAAAAGTTCTTGGAAGTTCTGTTAAAAGAATTTCTCTTTATTTTTGTTGTTGTTGTTTCACTTGATGTTTTCTGAATTTATTTGACCACAGAACCAGTTTCTTTAGGTTAACACCCAATAGTTGCCCATGGATCTAATGTTTGGCAGAACACAATTAAGAAGCATTGTTTTATTATATGCACCCTGAGCCAAGATGAAACCCCGTGCAGTAATCTTCATCAAGGACATCTGTGTTCAGTATTTTTAGGGAGAATCTCCCACCATGGGTTCCAGACTTTTGGGAAATATGTCCCCTAAAGAAAGGAGAGAGATGTTCAGAAAAGCTCTACTACTCAGTAGCTCTTTTCATCATAGTGGGTTTTTTTTTTTTTTTTTGTATTCTTAGCAGGTAGAATAAAATGGGATTTTTATAAAAGAGGTTTCAGAGAAAAACAAGGGGATTTTACTGTCTACTTGTTCAGTAATGTTTATAAATCCAGTAGTGTGTGTTTTATTTCTTTGGGCTTTATAAATCTATAATTCAAACCAGGTTTTATTATTGCCTTAAAGGCAGCCACCCATGTAGGCACAGAGAGGTCCAGAAACACACAACTAATTGTTGTGGTTTCCCCTGCTGAACTTGAAGAGTTTGGCGTTGAATCCCAGTCTCTTGGCTGCTGTAAGGTCTGTGCAACAAGCTATTTTTCTGGCATGAGAGCAGGCATATTTGAAGTACTAATTTAAATGGTCCTTTTAGGTATTATTTTGCAATGAAAAATTTTAAGGCTAATAAACTCTACTTCTGAGAATGTAAGCCTACCAATTGTATCTACTTTCTTTTTCCTTTTTGTCTTATCATTTTCTTTTTATTCTCTAAGCCATACTGACAGATTTAATAATTAGAAATATTTTACATGTAATGTTTTTCTGTTTATGCTTAAGGGTTAAAAAGTAAAGTTACTTAGTATGTAGATACTATCTACCTGGAAAATGCTCTTCTCAGTGCACACACAAGCACAATTCAGGAAAAAATGATGAGGTATTTAAGATATTAAACAATAAGCTATCACTACTTTTTTCATTTTAGAGTGGGTAATCTGTGGTTAAAAAACAAACAAAAAAAAATCCTCTGAGACCCTTTGTAATATTAGTCAGATGGAAAGAACCCAGCAGCAAAATGCAGAATCAAAATCTAATCATGAAGTCTTTAAACAAGATAGATGAGGGAAGAGCCAGTTTATGGCCTCTGCTAGGTCATGTATGGGGTTACTGTTTAATTTTTAAAACAGTCAAACTTCATTTCTCCAGCACCCTCTGTTAGAGGGCATTGCTTACCTCTCTTACCTTTGTTTTTCTTGGTGGTCCACAGCGCCTCTATGGCCTGTTTCTCTCAACCAGCATCCCATGTAGTCAGTGTAGTCAGTCATACATTTGCTCTTCCTCAAAATGCACCTCTCTTTTGTTCATTTCCTTAAAGCCTTAACAAGTAACTGATCAATCTGAAAACAAATTCCATTTTTATTGTGTAGCAAAACATAAAATTCATATACTATCATTCTATTTCAACCTATGTTGTCTTTTCTTAAAGGTCTGTTTAGACATAAAAATATCATAACCCAAAGAAATAAATCTAATAATGAGGCTTTCTTTTTTTGAGGTGGCCTCTCACTCTGTTGCCCAGGCTGGAATGCAGTGGTGTGATCTCCACTCCCCACAGCCTCCAATTCCCAGGTTCAAGCGAGTCTCCTGCCTCAGCCTCCTGAGTAGCTGGGATTACAAGTGTTCGCCACCCCGCTTGGCTAATTTTTGTATTTTTAGTAGAGACTGGATTTCACGATGTTGGCCAGGCTTGTCTCGAACTCCTGACCTCAGGTGATCTGCCTGCCTCAGCCTCCCAAAGTGCTGGGATTACAGGCATGAGCCAATGTGCCTGGCCCATAATGAGGCTTTTAAGCAGGCACAAGGTATTTTATTGGGGAAGATACTGTTGTCCAGTATAGGTCAACACCTGCAAAATTGGTACTATAAGTAGGTAGCAGCCTATCCCAGTATTCTCTAAATAATCAAACAAAATTTTATATCCCTTTCACCTTAAATATGATCTAGGTAAAGGAGGAGGAGAATGAGAATCAGATGAAGTTTCTAATCCTTTGTATTTATTACTCTCTCACAAAAAAGAAAGTAGTATATTGCATATCAGTATTTGTGTATCAAACAAAGTGAATATTTTTACAAAACAAATAAGTAGAAGGTAGAAATATTTTATTATTGTTGTTTACCTTAATGTACACTTAGACAGTATGTGCCTGAGACTTTTTGAAAAGAGCAGGATATACCTACAGCTCTTCCACTATTTTTTAGCTGTGGCAGACCATATTCCCAAGGGAATCCTGCTGATGGGCCCCTGGAGAGAAGTGAGGCGGCCACTCGGACACCAAGTAGAACAGGTAATTCATTGTTTGGGATCCTGTTGCCCAAAATGGAAATTGCTTTATGTTTTTTTCCTGATCAAAAGTGACCTACATTTCTGATTTGGGGGGGCGCTGGGGGACAGGGTCTCACAATGTTGTCCAGGTTGGTCTTAAACTCCTGGGCTCAAGTGATACTTTCACCTCAGCCACTCCTAGGATTACAGGCATGGGCCATTGTGCCCAGCCTGATTTTTAAAATTACAGATTGAAAAGGACAAGGGAGAAAACTAAAGTCATCTATAATCCTACTCTCTCGAGTTAATCATGGGTAAAGCTTGGGTGCAGAGCTTTCCAAAACGTTTTTCTACAGTTATACATGTGTATATTTTTAAAACACAAGAGGTGATTTTATATAATATATAGACTATATAGCAATGTTATTTTATCTTGCTACTTCTGACATTGAAAGTGCTTAAGTGGTTCCCAAAACATAGCAGACACTCAATAAACCTCCTTCGGGCACCTTACTGAGCTATGAGAAACGGCATAGGAGCTCAGAGAACATAGACTTCAGACTCTGGGTGTTTACTGATTGGTCTTTTAGTTAGCACAGTTCACTGCTGACTGAAATGGCGACAGTGAAGTGGGACAGATAAGAAGGAAGCCACAGGATTCTAAGAAATGGGATTGGATACGAAGGATTTCCCTTGCCCTTAAGCATATGCCATCACTCTGCCCTACAGAGCACTTTACTCCTGGGTGTGTCAACTCAATGTCTTCCACCTTGCATGCCCATTCTACAGTAAGTGTTATAGTCAGTTACTCAGTGGTTTAATGTTTAGGGAGAGAAAAAGAGAAAAAAGAAACAAAGTCACAGGATTTGTTAAAGGTATGAACTGTTGTTCTAAAAATATTATTGAGAAATTATTGAATGCCATGCAGATTACAGATTATAATTTCCACTGTTTTACTTTGTTAACAGATGTGTGCTTTTCTCCACCCTATAATCATACAGGATTATATATTATTATATTACTATTCTTGGATTGTAAGCTCATGAAAGCAGTATTTCCCTAAACACTCTATTTACCATATGCATCTTAGCAAAGTTTGCTTGAATGAGCCCCCTTTCCCCATTGTAGATCTCGTAATAAGTTATTTTCTTTTAATTGTAGACGACACTGCTCAAGTTACCTCTGATTATGAAACCAATAACAACAGTGACGGCAGTGACATTGTACAGAATGAAGATGAGACAGAGTGCCTGAGAGAGCCTCTGAGGAAAGCATCAGCTTGCAGCACCTATGCTCCTGACACCATGATGTTTCTGGTAGTCCTATATCACTTAACTCACTCATTTACTTGAGAAATCAGCTTCTGTTACAGATATTGGCTTAGAAGTGAATCTTTGAGGCCTTGCATGGTGGCTTATGCCTGTAATCCCAACACTTTGGGAGGCCGGGGCGGGCAGATTATTGAGGTCAGGAGTTTGAGAATAGGCTGGCCAACATGGTTAAACCCCATTTCTACTAAAAATACAAAAAACTTAGTCAGATGTGGTGGCAGGCACCTGTAATCCCAGCTACTCGGGAGCAAGAGGCAGAAAAATCACTTGAGCCTGGGAGGTGGAGGTTGCAGTGAACTGAGATCATGCCACTACACTCTATAGTAGGCAACAGAGTGAGACACCATCTCAAAAAAAAAAAAAAAAAGAAAAGAAATGAATCTCTGAAACATATTTACAGATGTATTTCATCCAGGTTACACATGTATTATAACCCTTCCCATACATATCAATATATTTTTTCTCTTTTCAAGCATTATCAGTCTCTTAATGGTTCTATTATCTGGTGATTAATAGCTTATTTATAATTATACAATGATTGCAGATATTTATTAACCCAATTGAAAAGTAAATATAGGACAAAATACTTCATTCATTAAAACAACACTTTAGACAGAAAGATGAAGGAAAGGGGGGAAAAAGATATTCATTGTCTTAGGGTATCTGCTGGTTTTTTCTGCCTCCTTGACTTAGAAAATGAACCAATATGTGTTTTTCTTGTTATATTAAGTCAGGCATATATTGACACTAGCCACCTATTAAAATATCCCTGAATGATGACGTATTCTGTGTGTTTAAAGAGATCCATTTAAGGAGGAAAGCATACATTTGAGTGAGCTTCATTTTAGGGAGGTGGCAAATGGTAGAAAATTGTTGACTCTCAAGTGATCATCAGTGGCTGCTATTATCATTTTTCTTTTACTGTGTTTCCTCTTTTATTTCTAAGTCAGATAGATTGTCATGTAAAATAATATATATGTTTCCTTATCCTCATTATCTTTTTCTTTTCTTCTTAATTTTTTTTTTGGCAAATGTACTCTTAAGAGTGTCCTCATTTGGGACCATGTTATAAAAAGCCTTTACATTTACATAGTGCATGTTTCTCAGGAAACAGTAGATCACATGAAATAAATTAAAATCCCTGAAAAATGTGGCAGTTGTTATTCTATAGGATTAATGTCCATTTTGAAGCATTAATATAAATAATAATAGGAGTGATTAAGTCCTCCTACTCATGGATTTTTTTTTGAGAGTTTAAGGAAGGAGCCCTCATCTCAGAAAAATTTACATAATTATGTAGAGATATAAATTTACATGTAATTTCAGAATATTCTGATGTCTTTAAAACTTTAAGAACCTTGCAGTAGATCCAAAGCAATTATACTAACTTGTAGAAGAAACATCCATGTTTTTGCTGGAGTATATATGAACCAGTGATAGGCAAGCACTTAATAGTGCAAAATTCGTATCTGAAACAGCGTTAGTTCCTTTCCTCCTTACTTTGGGGTCAATGTCTTATTCATCTTGACCTTTTTTTGGTAAAGATCACTCATTCACCTTGGAGTTTTAAGTCATTTATTTCCAATAGCCACAGTATTTATTGAATTTAGCAAAGCACAAATTTCCCTGTAGAAAAAGTACATGCTGTTTAAGTATTTTAATCTTAAACATTACAGGACAAACCAATTCTTGCTCCCGAACCTCTTGTCATGGATAACCTGGACTCAATTATGGAGCAGCTAAATGCTTGGAATTTTCCAATTTTTGATTTAGTGGAAAATATAGGAAGAAAATGTGGCCGTATTCTTAGTCAGGTAAGAAATGCATTCATTCATACTAATTTAAATATAGGAAAAACAATTCCTTGGTTACTTAAAGCTCTGTAAATTCTTGACACTTGTGGATAGGTGTTGTGTAGAGAAAGGAAGTTGTAAAACACAGCATTCTGTAGATTTCTTGGTGGTGGGTTAACCAAAGAAACTAGAACCTCAAGTGAGTTGAATGTCATATTCTGCAATTAAAATACTATATATTTTTTAAGACAAAGTAGGAGGGGATAGAGTTATATACACAAGGGACAAATCATCTAGGATTCATAGAATTAAGCAAGAGAAAATCTGACACTAGCCCCTAAAAGAAGAAAACCGCCTGTTTAGAAATACTAAGTTATTGTCTGAAATAATTTTCAATGACATTTTTAAAACTTTGGAATATTATGGAGCTTATAATATTAAACCTTATCAAAGATAAGATGTGCCAAAATGTGTTTCCTCCTACTGCTTTGAGAAACACATCAAATAGAGTTCTCTGTATTTGAAAATCACAAACTCCTTTATTTATGACAAGAAATTAAGAATAATACTGTTGCTGCCTAACCAGCCTTTAAGCATTGTTTTCTTTAGGCTAAACTACTTTCAAGGCTTTTCACATAGGTAATTATTTGTTTTGCTGAAGAAGAAAGACAACATATAAAAATTAAGAATTTGAAAATATTTTGTTTTAAACCACAAAACAAAGTGATGGATTTGCTGTACTATGGAATACCTGTCAAAATTAAACAAGGAGAATGGTGTGATAATACGTATCAGCTTATCTTCACGTTTTAGGTGTATTCTTATAAATTTGAATAAATATCAGAGCAGAGATAGTAAGGACCACCAAACCTGTGAATATAAGACTTAGGAAAGAATTCAGGACCCAACCCAGATTTATTGGCGCCACTAACACTTCTCAGCAAAACACTAGAAGAGAAATCACAGAAATGCTGATTGCTATGCAGTGCATCCAAGATGAGTTTTCTTTGGATCACTCAACATGTGTCTGAGTGTGGAACTTTGGGGTGAGGATCCTGATCTGTGAAGACTGAAGGGAAAAGACAACAGGTGTTTCTTTTAGTGTTTAATTCTGCAAGCACATATGGCTGTCTAGTCTAGGGGTACACTAGGATTATTGATAGAATATGAGGCACAAAATTCTTACAAAGTCTGTTTAATATTCAGTTATTGCCTCTGCTAGACTCTATTCTGTCCATGACCATGTAGAGGAATATAATGGCAGCCCTTGCACTTTACTAGGAGTTGAGAGTCCTTTTCTTCTTCCTTTCCTTTATTCTCAGTGCTAAGCAATGTCTCTTATACTAGTTCACCTTAAGGACAGATTTAAGGGTAGCTGTTCTGTCCAATTCACCTTTGCCTCATACCTTAGGGAACCCCCTGGGAGATTGTGTTATCTTTTTCTGAAACTCATGACAAACTGCAACTTTGAGGGAGTGGTCTTTCCTGGAAATAAGCCTGTAATGGTACCACAAGATGTGGCAATAGGCCAGGAAGCATTCCCCTCCCCCCGTCTCTTTATTTATTTATTTATGTTTTTTTTTACTAGGGAGTGTGTTCCCTGGTATGGAGAGACATAGCTCATTTTGTTTTATATTTGATGTATGTTTCACAGAGTCTCGAAAACTTAATCTTCACAGTGACTTTAGTGCAGGGTTTTTAAAATATTAGTTTACAGAAGAAGAAACTAAGGCTTAAAAAGAGAATATGCTACTCTTCTAAAGTCATATATTAAATATTCAACCCAGGATTCAAAAGTAGATTTATCCATATCAGAAGCCCAGGCTTTTTACATTCATTCAATTGCTTCTCAGATTTTCATAAAACACCTTGAGTTATTGCGTCTTCACATTCTCCACATGAGAATTCGGACCTAGTAGAAAAGTGGGTATGATAGCAGTCAGTTTTACAGCACAAATGACAGTGTACACACTTTCATTGCAGGTATCAACCACTCTTTTGAAGTTCTGTGAGCTGGGAATAGGAGAAAAAACTGGACCAAAAATGCCACAAAATGTTTTCTAAGACTCATGGATACCAGTAGACATTAAAAAGATTAATTAACAATTAGATTCCTGCAAAGTTCAATAATGTATCTTTTGTTCCAATCATGTCCCAAAAATAGAGTAATATATTGATATATGATCCTTATTAGTTACCTCTTACTTTTCCAATTTGCTAGACATTAAATTTTGAATAAATGCAGCTTCATATGACTTGCTAAGTAGAACTTTTGGGGATTGTTCCTTTTATTTGAGTTTACAAGAACAAAAATCATGAAATTTTGATTACGGAAAATATGTAAATATTTTTTGCCATAGTGAGACTTTAGGACAGCTGAAATGAATTAATGTGAACATTCCAAGAAATCACCTTTTGGCTGAGACTAAATGGAAAAAGTCTCATTTCAAAAGACTTTTAAAGAGACACGTGCAATGGAAATGAGTTAGTTTCAATATACAGCCTGCCTTTTGATGATTATCATTTTTATTTTAACCAATTTAAAAGGACATCCTTCAGATTTTGAAAAGGCGTTTAGTCTTTTCAGTTGCCAATGTTTACTTAGTTTCAGAATTGTTCTCTTTATGTCTGACATACAATTAGGGATGTTTCATAAGGCTTTGTCTTTTCTTTTACAGGTGTCTTACAGACTTTTTGAAGACATGGGACTCTTTGAAGCTTTTAAAATTCCAATTAGGGAATTTATGAATTATTTTCATGCTTTGGAGATTGGATACAGGGATATTCCTTGTAAGTATATGTGATTTGTAAAATACTTTTAAAATATGTTGAATTTGCTGTGGGTAAATGAGATAGTGAATCATTAGCAGGTAGCACAGAATTACACAGGGTAAACACTCACTATGGAGACATTATATGATGATTAGGAAATATTGCCTGGCTCCTTTGCCTTTTAGCTGAATGAGACCTTATGTTTTACTTAACCTCTAGATGCCTCATTTCTTAGTTCATAAAATAAGAATTATAATACCGGCTTCATATGATTGTTAGGATCAAATAAGATTATATTTTTAAAGAGGTTATTGTAGTACCTAGCACACAGTAAATCCAACTTAAGTCTACTTTAATATGGCTATTTTTTGAAATAAATAATTAAATATTAAATTTATTGCTCATTTAATAACTCATCCCTTTTATTGGGTGAATTCAACTTTTGTTGTGGCATCTGAAGAGTTAAGTTACTATATATGTTTTCTCAACATAAGATAAAGTGGGCTGGTGTTTAGAGGGTCAGGAGGATGATGTTCTGGTTAATAAAATAGAAAAGAGACATCTGGAAGTGGTTATGGAAAAAATGATGAGAAACGTTTTAAAAAATCAGGTATATGGGAAGACAAAAGGAGAACACACAATCAAGTGTTCAAGCTTTGAGTCTTGCAAGAATAAGTTTCACATTTACATTAACAAAAAATTGAAACACACAGAAGAAATTAAGTTTTCATTATGTAGCATTTCAGGTATCATCGATCCAAACACATAAGTAAAATGGTCCTACAATGCTACAAAATACATGGTTTGGGAGACAATGTCTAAAGGTCCAAACAAGGAAATTGTGGAGATATTAAAAAGTCATGTAGCGCATCAAGGAAATAAAAGGTGGAAAGAAAATTAATCAAACATAATATATTGATTGGAGCATGTCGTGGAAACATGTTATTTAAATCATATTTAAGCTTTTAATTTTAAAGTTGATTTTATGCACTTCAGACTTAAGAACCCTGTAATCTTTTATGTAATTGTAAAGAGCTGCAGTTAAATTAAAAAAAAATAAATTAATACTGATAAAGCACAATTATTTCCAGAAAGGGGTATCACATTAACCTAGGGATTTATTATGAGCATGTTGTTTTCAAAATCCCATCCACATGCTACATTGGAATGAATATACACAGCTGATAGTGTATCATAGAAGAAGAGAAGGAAGAACTGAATTTACAAATGAGATTTTCTGAGGAATACAGGACCAAAATACAGGCAGAGTAAGACAGTTGGAGTAGAGGAAAGAGAGCTTAACAGTATCAGGGCCCCTGGGAACATCTGGCTGACAAATCCATGGAAGTTGGAAGAGAAATATGAAAAAAGGGGTAGTTGGAAAAGATCTCAAGATAAGCCTTGTGTTCTTAATAGTTTTCCCAGGGCCCACCCTAGTTGAATGCCACTGATTGACCTAAGTGTTCATGATTTCTCAAAGGCTAAAGAGTTACATAAATAAGCTTTTGTAGAAAGGAAGCCACAAAGAACACTAAAGAACAGCTAGTCACTAGACTGAATTTCCAAATTCATGTTATATTTTCAAATGTATTTTAATGATATAATTAGCCATAGCAAAGTTCCACTGAGTTCAAATTGATACTAACCTCCATGCACATAATAACTACCAACTTTTTCACAGGTAGTGTATCATTGAATCATAGTTGAAAGATTACAAGTATTTAAGTACAAAAATAAGTTTTCAGATTCTAAGATTTACTTTTATATTTTATTACATTTTTATATATTACAAGTAAATAGCTATTTTTTTTTCTCTGAAATTGTGGGTTCTTTATTCCAGGTGAAAATAATTTGTTATAATACATTTTCTTGTTCTATTAGAAGTCCTAGATACTTTCCATAAAGGGAATTTATTTACATCTTTCCATAGGAAAGCTCTAGCTTCATTTGTGATCACTTTTAATGAATATTTCATATGTGCTGAGATTAATTAATATGAATATTTATTAAAAGCTTCACTTAACATTAATTATAGTTAGTACATATAAAAATTTGCTGTGTACCTACTTATTTTAATATTTACTTTGGATATATTTCTAATGATTCCATCTAAGTGAATCCAGAGTTGAAATGAAGCCTAAAAGGAACTGAAGTTAAAATGCGGTTGGATTAACTTTAATATGATAATGTGTGCAAATATTAAAAACTAAATTTCTTATTATTGTTCTAAGTGTACCTCTAACAGTTTTCAAGAGAAGAGGGTATGTAGGAAAGCTTTTAAATGTGTACTTAGAATCCTGATAAAAATTGAAGAATCTAGATTTAAACAGAGAATAAAAGAAAGAAATTTTATGGTAGTAGCAATGGAAAGACAATAAATATAGGCAACTCAATAATGTAAATGTGATAAAAATATATCAAATATATCATAAGTTTCAATCAAACTTATGATAAATTAATGTATGGTCAGTACCCAATTGCATAGGGACATAAATAATGTTTGGTGTCATTCATAGTCCTTTTCAGTTGGGCATTTTGCTTAATAAAGAAAAATCCATTCATATTCATTTATTGACGCTGTTATTTTTTAGGGTAGTTTTTTTTTTTTTTTAATTTTCAAAGAGTTTCAGCTCTAAAGTATAGTCTCCCTAACACCTCTCATCCTTATTTAAGTTTGAGAAATGGGGAGAATGCCTCAGAACTACCTGTGATCATGTCGCTATTTCATGACAGCAAGGAGAATAGTCCTGCTCAACCTGCATTTAGTCCAGTTTAATTAAGCTGTACATGATGTTCCCACTGATTCTAAAGCTGGAAACTGAAGTGACATGGTACAAGCTACACGGGCAGAACTACCAGAGTATTAACTATTTTCCAAAAGAAAAAACATATTTAAAGTGTTACCTTTATTCTTTACTACTTCCCCTCACCCTATGGTGCATAGGAGTATAGACATAATTTTAAATCAAAACTATATAAATTTGGATCTTAAAATCTGTGAATTTACATACAACTCCAACCCTCCATACCAGCTCACTTCAACTCTGTGCTTGAGGGAAAAGGAGAAAGTTGAGAAAACAAGTGTATCAAGACGGAAGAGGGAGATGGGCGGACTCTGGGAAAGAGGTAGGGTGTACCATGTGCTAGTATATGCATGTGTGTCTATGTCATTAAAGAGGGCGATGGGGTTGACACGTGAGTGAGGGCATCATTGAGAAGACTAGGGGTTTGTCCAAAATGCAGAGATGAAGGAAGAGGTGTGATGATAATAAGGATAAAATAATGATAGCTCTGATAGCATTTCTTATCCTTCTCAGTTGCTTACCCTGGCCAGAACAAGAACAGGAATCTTTAAGCATTTTAATGTATCACATAGAAACCTGCCAGTAACTTACATTGACCTTGCTGGCTTCTTTCCTGGGTGTCTTTGTTCCTGGGTTGAGTTACCAGAGAGTTAATGGCAAGAACAGTGGAGATGCCAGCACTTGGCATAATACTAAATACATGCTAAGTGACTATTTGATTAATAAACATGTTATTGACTGCTAACAGGACAGATGGTTTTCTATTCTTCAATCTAAGTGATTGATGACAGTGTTACTCTCCTAGACATACAGACATATAACTAGATGTATATATTTAAGCAGCTAGATTTGGTTAGCAATTTTTTAATTTAGTACTTTTAAATCTATACTCTTAATTTAGTACTTTTATCTATACTCAAAAGCAAAAGGAACATTTTAAAATATATATATACTGGTTTTACCTAGCTTTTAAATCAAGATTGTACCATCCTCATTGCAGCTTTTCGTCTTATATTTTCAGCACTAGATTATTTACTTAGGATTGCTTGCTTGTTGAAAGTTTGTGAAACAAAAACAAAAAATATTACCTATAAAATTTTCTGGGCCTAGGCCTTGGGGCGGGGTCAGCGCAGTGATGATTAGAGCTCAAAAGCTACAAGTTCACCTGGAATAGATGTTATCATTTCCTTACCCCAAACAGGCTCTGGAAACACTATGATACTGCCCCGCCATCCACCTCAGTATGATCTGCTCATGCACAGGTTTCTTTGACTTTCAATAATAATAGTAACTACTGGCATATAGTAATTTTCCCAGCTTGCAACAGGAGAAGGTAATTTAACTCAAAAGCTGGCTTCCAACTTATTTCCCAAAAGTGGAACCTTATTTCCAGACTGCCATTTTCCTGCCATACCAGGTCTCATTTCTGTCTTCTGCCTCCTGATAGGTGTAGAAGAGATTTTATTTTATTCTTACAAATCCAGCAGTGATTCTTGGAGAAAGCTGGTGATCTATACTAGTTTTATCTTGTTCTACAGTAACAGTTTATTTTACATGAGTAATATTTACACAAATTGCAAGCTCACTGTGTATCAGGCCCTTTAAAATATATTTCCTTCTGTAATTGTCACAATTGTACTATAAAGTTGGCAGTATTATTTTCATATTTTTAAGATAAAGAAATGAGGCTTTTTACTCTTATTTTTAAGATAAGGAAATGAATTTTAAGTAACTCAATCAAGTTTGCATGGATAATAAATACAGCAGAAGTGAAAACATGCCTGTCTCAAATCCAGAAAATTCTAGTATGATCAATTTCATAAATAGCCCAAGTACAGACATAAAATATCATTGTAATTGTGTTGCCTGTGAATTATTTGTAAATGGTAATGGTCTTATATCACTGGATATGGTCTATACTCAGGGATATAGATGCCAGTCTTAATAAAATTGCTCTTTGAAGTACCATACAATATTAATATTCATATTTACAACAGACACAGGTATACAAGTTTTGCCATTTTCTCCTCAGGAAGCTAGGAGTTGAGTTTCTTTCTTTCTTTTTTTTTTTTAATTTATTATTATTATTATTTTGAGACAGAGTCTTAGTCTGTCACCCAGGCTGGAGTGCAGTGGTGCAATCTCAGCTTACTGTAACCTCCACCTCCTGGGTTTACGTGATTCTCCTGCCTCAGCCTCCCAAGTAGCTGGGACTACAGGCACCTGCCACCACACCCAGCTAATTTTAGTATTTTTAGTAGAGACAGAGTTTCACCATGTTGGCCAGGCTGGTCTGGAACACCTGACTTCAAATGATCCACTCACTTTGGTGTCCCAAAGTGCTGGAATTATAGGCATGAACCACCATGCCTGGCCGGAGTTGAGTTTCTTTAAGCTTTTCTGATGAAATCTTTTCAAACCTACATCCAGGCCTCTCCACTGAATTTCTAGGGTGTTTACCTAAGATTTAGCTACATATTATCACATAAAGACTGATTCGTAACAGCTGCCAGAAATTTAGCACCTACCTGGGTGCTATAATTGCTGCATTGACCATAGGTTTCCTCTTCCTTCCTTAACTAGGGTATAGGTGTTTCTTTCATATTCTTATTGTCATTCTTTTTCTCTCCTGTTTCTCCCTTCTTCTTGTGTTAAGTATTATGCAGAAATGTAATCTATTATACTAGAGAAGGAAACAGTATCATGGTTGGTTAGCAGAAATGTAATATGTAAAGTTAGTATATTTAGAATAAAGCATACTAATCAGTGAAGTATTATGAGAGGTCTGATAAACAAACAAAAGACTTGGAAGAACTGCACAGAAAAAGACGGCAAGGGCACCCTGGGCACGTGGTTATGGTTTGAAAGAAGTTGAACTGCACATGTAGAGTATGACCCCCTTCCCATGATGATGGCAATATGATTAGTAAATCTGGTTTTCTCATATGTTTTAACTCTTCTAAATGGCATAGCTTTCAACATTATATACAAAGAGGTTTTTCTTTTTCTTTTTAGGTATTTCTTAGAACTATATTCTCTAATTAGAATTTCTAGATCAGAGAATATACTTGCGGCTTTGCATTTTGCTTGTGGATATAATCTACATATAAAAGATATTTTATTGCAGTGCTTTAAGATTGATACAGAAAAATGGTATTATGTTCTATTCTCAGATTATATTTGAGTACCATTTATCGGAGATGGAATATTATGTCTGATCTAGATGAAGTGTGTCATAGCTATTACTTTTATTCTGGTTCTCTGCAGTTTTATGCAGGAGCATGAAAATAATTACAAGAGTAAACATTACAGTTGTTTCACACAGTGAGTTTCCTATATACATAGTTTGTGGTCGACTATTGACGCAGATGTTTATACTTCAGGTATTTGCATGCATAATAAATGTTACAAGTAGGTTTTTTTTTTCTTGTTACTATGGATATTATAGAGTTATAGAAGAGTAATCAAAGAATATTTGTCCTAGAAAGTTTGGCTTTCATGGAAATAGTAAAATGTTAGGACTAAACTGTTTGTCCAGTAGATGGCACTCTTAGTTCTTGGACCCCAGAGTTAGTAAATTGATGACTTGTGTTCACTGATTACAGATCATAACAGAATCCATGCCACTGACGTTTTACATGCTGTTTGGTATCTTACTACACAACCTATTCCAGGCCTCTCAACTGTGATTAATGATCATGGTTCAACCAGTGATTCAGGTATGTAACGAAGTGAATCTGCACTCCCTTGTGAGAGATGGGAACAAGAGTGTTTTTTCAAAAAAAAAAAGTAAGTGAAGACAAATGATGTCAGTTTAATACTTTTAAAAAAGATTTCTGTGACTCTCATTTTCTCTTCTCAGATTCTGACAGTGGATTTACACATGGACATATGGGATATGTATTCTCAAAAACATATAATGTGACAGATGATAAATACGGATGTCTGTCTGGGAATATCCCTGCCTTAGAGTTGATGGCACTGTATGTGGCTGCAGCCATGCATGATTATGATCACCCAGGAAGGACTAATGCTTTCCTGGTTGCAACTAGTGCTCCTCAGGTAAATCTTTAGATTTTGGTTAGGAGGAATAATTTAAAGATTTCTCAAGAAAGTGAAGTGTGATTTATAATAGGCATCAAGTTAATATAAGCCAAACTATTTATAGCCTTACCTGAAAATTCTCAGAGACCATGCTAAAACCATGAATTTTTCATTCTGAAAAGAAACCATGGATTCTTCCAAGATACTAATGGCAGGTATACAACTTCATTATCCATGGAAATCATTTCTCAGTTGTCTTCTTAGGAAGAAAATCTATTTGAATTCATGTTAATGGACCCCTTCAACAAACAAAAGGCAACCTATACAAAAGCCCCTTTCTGAAAAGATTAGATAACCCAGTATTTCTTGGACTTCTAAGAATGTAAGGCTTCTTTGTATATAAAGATCATTCCTTTGAAATATATTCATTATAACAATTATGATTCTTGTGACATATCTACAGGATGGTAGAATTTTAACATCAATTCGTTTCATTGGAGGAAATTTTTTTTGCCTAAACATAGATTCTAAAAGCAGTGAATAAATTTAAATTTCATCTTGGTGTATAATTCAATCTAAGTAAAAAATTCATCACTAAGTATCTCGACATGCCCATTTATACAATCAAATATAGCCCCTTATTTACTTAATTGGCTGAACCCAAGTTACTAAACATTCTGAGATCCTCTGTTCTTCTACAAGATCTAGAGGCCAATTTCATTCTATATTACTTTTCTGTTTTCTTCATTGCCTCTTCTGTCCCACTGGTATCCCTTTCCACAGCTGATCTTATGGTCTGTTCTATAGTTTTCCTTGGATCTATATACAATAAAAATTATCTGATAATTTTTTCTTGATTATCTACCTTTTTTCCACTTGTCTTTCATACACCAGAATTATTTTTTTTAAAGATAGGCAAAAATCCACTGGCCAGGATAATTTGCCATTCAGATTTTTCTACATGTCCACATTTTTATATACCTCAATATTAATATTCAGTGCTTAGTGTTTTCTTTTTGTCCTTAGGTCTTTTATTTTCTCCATAGGCTCTCTTGCAAATTAATGTTTAGGCATTTTGTAGGCAGTTTCTTTTTTAAAAAAACATTCTCTAATAAAACTTCTCTCTGCATTATTAGAGAATTTCAAACAAGTAAATGTCATTTTTTATCTTCAAATACTAGATAAAATGTGATATTTCCTATGGAGTGGAGTGGGAATGTTTTGAATCATGGGCACTTTGGGGATTCTATTTATTTTTAATAGCTATATGTGTTTAAGAGGAGGTAATGCTTATGCCAGATACAGAACGTAACCTAGTTACCTCTTGAGGTATTGGTATAATTATATTTACATATATATGTAAATGTAAGTTTTTTCTTTGTCTTCCTTCCTCCTTTTCTATTTGTATATCTTTTTGATATTTAAATTCCTGTACCCTACAAAGAAATCTAAAGAATAAAACTTTTTAAAGTATCTATTAAGATAGGCTAGTGCCCCCTCACAAGAGTTTCCGCTAAAGTTTCAAGGAAAGGAATTTATCTTATAAAAAAGGGAAATTTAATCAAGAAAAATAATAGAGTCATTATATAGTAACAATTGATTCTTGATAAGCAGGAGTCACATGATTACATTTCTTTTTTGTACGAATAAAAAGCAATTTCAGAAGCATTGCATATTCTCATCATTTTTGTGATTATTTTCTTAAAAAGTTGAACTCTTAACTCTCTTATTTGCCTAGGCGGTGCTATATAACGATCGTTCAGTTTTGGAGAATCATCACGCAGCTGCTGCATGGAATCTTTTCATGTCTCGGCCAGAGTATAACTTCTTAGTTAACCTTGACCATGTGGAATTTAAGCATTTCCGTTTCCTTGTCATTGAAGCAATTTTGGCCACTGACCTGAAGAAACACTTTGACTTTGTAGCCAAATTTAATAGCAAGGTAAGTAGAGTTGTACCAGTCTTCATTTTATAGACACATTGAAAGATATCATGGAAGCAAACTGTTGAACAAAACATGTTACTATCAACTCTCATATGTCAAATGTGAAAATGGAATGCAATAAAATGTTTAACCAGAAGCGCACATATACATATTGATCTGATTCTAGATGCCCAAGAAGTTAAGATCCTGTCTTTATAGATTATGTTTTGTGCTACAGAGGAATAACACATTCTGTCATTGTGGTTTTGATTTCATTTTTTCTCATCTCTATGGCATATTTATATAAATTATCTGGCAGCAGTAAAGATCAAAAGGTGAAGCAAAATTTTATATGTCAAAAGTGAATGCCCAAATATTAAGTTATAAAAATTTTTATGATTTGTAACTGTATTATTTTAATAGCAATCGATAATAATGCCCAGTGCAATGGCTCAGGCCTATAATCCCAACCCTTTGGGAGGCTGAGGCAAGTGGAACACTTGAGGCCAGAAGTTCAAGACCAATCTGGCTAACATGGCAAGCCCCATCTCTACTAAAAATACAAAAATTAGCCAGGTGTGGTGGCACACACCTGTAGTCGCACCTACTTGGGGAGCTGAGGCAGGAAGATTGTTTGAACTCAGGAGATGCAAGTTGCAGTGAGCCAAGACTGCACCATGGCCCTCCAGCCTGAGAGACAAAGTGAGACTCTATCTCGAAAAAATAAAAAACAAGAGTAATTGATTATATATGCCAATATTAAAAAGCATTTGTTGCTAATATGATAATTAATGATTTTTAAAATTTTTATTTTTGTAGGTACATAGTGTTTCTATTTATGGGTTACATTAATAAATTCATGTAATGCATAATAGTCATAACAGAGTTAGTGTGGTATCTGTCACCTCAAACATTTATTCATTGTGTTATAAACAATACATTTATGTTCTTTTAGTTATTTTAAAATGTATGATTAAATTATTTTTGTCTATACTCACCCTGTCATCCATAATTATTACTTTATCCATAATTGATTATTTTACTTTTCTGATGAACTATTGTTACCATTAATTTACATAGGCCAGTAACATTTTAAAATAGCTAGAAATTCCCAATTATTTGGTATTATGATCCCTATATAATATGAAGACAATAAATGTTCTTTTGTTTTCTCTTCTGTTCCACTTTTGTTTTTATTGAAGCAAAACATATTTTAACTTTGTCTCAACTAGGTTAATGATGATGTTGGAATAGACTGGACCAATGAAAATGATCGTCTACTGGTTTGTCAAATGTGTATAAAGTTGGCTGATATCAATGGTCCAGCTAAATGTAAAGAACTTCATCTTCAATGGACAGATGGTATTGTCAATGAATTTTATGAACAGGTAACTGACAACTGTTTCATATATCTCAGTCTATACTTACAGGTTGCTCATGAATTGCTCAAAGCCTCTAATGGCTGTGAAAGTATGATCTCTCTATTTTATATTCACACTTTGATCAGAAAATGCATTGTCAATTTTGATCAGTAGATAAAAAGTGATGTGTAAAAATTTCACTAAAATATAATCTAACCCTCTATGATAAAGTTATTTGCAAGCATTTGGGGGGAAGAAAATATTGAGAGAGCTGTCAGACGTTAGGAAGATCCTTGAAATACTGTTCTTTTATAGATTTATTTATTATCAGTTTAAATGTATATGGTGTAGTTTATATGTATATGGTAGTTTAAATGTATATGCATATCACATTAAGTTGACTTACCTTCCTAAAAAATTTATTTATTATCATGGAAGGTAGTTTAAATATATATGGAATAGTTTATATGTATATGGTAGTTCAAATATATATGCATATCAGATTAAGTTTACTTTTATAAGAAAAATTAATAACAATAGTATATGAAAAAGCTAAAAAGAAATAGGCATTTCATTTGACATGATAATGTGAGAGTTAGCAGACTACTAAAAAAGCTACCACAATTACACAAGCCAGGAGTGATCCTCCTGACATTACCCTACACCAGTCAGATTGCACCTGAGCCTTCCTGTCTGGTACCATGAACCACTCTTTGTAAAAAGAATGTGGAGGTGAAGAAGCATGCATAAAGGACGAAAATAAGTGTCAGAAGAGCACATGAAGAAAATGAAGATATTTTCTCTGGGGGAAATATAACTGTCTTCTGATATTTAAAGGAGTGACATACTAATTTAGAAATAGGTTAATCATAATATTGCTGTGGAGATTAAAGAAGATAAATTATATAACATACTTAGCACAGGATCTGATTCATAAAAAGAAGTTAGATCCCTCTCTACTGCCCTAAAAAAAGGTGTGACTATAACCAATCTATAGAAGTTATTGGGAAGTAGAGTTCAGGTCAATGTCAGAAAAAAACTTAGTCCAAAAATAGAAAGGCTGAGACATCTTATTAATCATAATAAATTGTCTGTCACTGGACATATTTAAACAGAGATTAGAATGAACTTTTATAATTATTATAAGTAGGATTCATATGCAGAATGAAAGGTTTGTGCTTTTAAAAAATAATATACTGCCTTTCTTAAGAAAGGGATTTATTAATAATCATTCCTGAAATATGGAAATGCAGAAAAATGTAAAGTAAAGGGAAAGTTCACGTATTGTAATACCACTTCTTAGGCATAATTGTTGCTCATATTTTGGGATATTTCCTTTATTAATTTTGCTAGGTAACCTCTGGCTAAAAATCTCCTTTTTTTTCCCCTCAGAAAGATTTGAAGCACTTCCAAATAAAACATTTATACAGTAATATTATTAAATGTTTAGATAAATAATATCAGAAACCACACAATCACAGAAGATATATTAATAATTCAAACAAAATCTGGGATAAGGTAACCCCTTGAATTGAGCAATAAATTCTTTTCAGCTTTCTGGCAGCCAAGGCAAAAAATGAATATAGTCTACATTTATATATTTTTAATAATTATTCTCACCATTGCTTTTTTTTTTTTGATGGAGTCTCACTCTGTCACCCAGCTGGAGTGCAGTGACACAGTCTTGGCTCACTGTAACCTCCACCTCCTGGGTTCAAGCAATTCTCCTGCCTCAGCCTTCAGAGTAGCTGGGACTATAGGTGTCTGCCACTATGCCCAGCTAATTTTTTGTATTTTTAGTAGAGATGGGGTTTCACCATATTGGCCAGTCAGGTCTTGAACTCCTGACCTCATAACTTGCCCACCTCTGCCTCCCAAAGTGCTGGGGTTACAGGCATGAGCCACCGTGCCTGGCCTCACCATTACATTTTAATGCATTTATATTCTCATATAAAAGACACTGACTTGTGTGATAAAAATATTATCTACTGATACATTAGACTTTAGACTTTCTGTATTTCTCCTTGATAAAAAGCAAAAACCTCAAGATCACAAAAGTATTAATTAGCAGCAAAGTCTTTCTATAGGAATCCTAGCGATTGAGGTAGGATCCTTTAGCTGTCAAGTAAAGTCATGTGTGCATTAATGTCTGGGGTTTTGCTTATTTACAAATTTCAGATGCCAAGTGAATGTTGACTTGACTTGTATTGTATTTCTAGGGTGATGAAGAGGCCAGCCTTGGGTTACCCATAAGCCCCTTCATGGATCGTTCTGCTCCTCAGCTGGCCAATCTTCAGGAATCCTTCATCTCTCACATTGTGGGGCCTCTGTGCAACTCCTATGATTCAGCAGGACTAATGCCAGGAAAATGGGTGGAAGACAGCGATGAGTCAGGAGATGACCCAGAAGAGGAGGAAGAAGCAACAGCACCACATGAAGAGGAAACCTGTGAAAATAATGAATCTCCAAGTAAGTTCTAAAATCTAGTTCTAATGTGTTTTCCCTGGATTACTTTTTTACTTTAGATGAATTTTATGCTTCTTATGAAATATAGTACTTCAAGTCTATATATCATTTGCCAAGTTTGATTATGGATAGCTCCCTTCCCCAGTATCACAATACTAGAAATTCCAGACTATGGAATCTATAATAATAATATATATCATACAAAGATATCTTCTCCACCATGAAGTTAAGAAAAAAAGAGTTGAAGTATATTCTTCAGGATATCTGAGTGATTTAAAAGTGAAAGGAATTTCAGTTACTATAAACACCAATCATAGGTTTTTACTGGCTTGGTTAGGGGAACTCCATGTGAATAGGAGGTAGTATTCATTTGTTCATTCAACAGACATTGATTGAGAACCTGCTCTGTGCCAGGCATCATTCTAGGTACTAGAGATAGAGCTGTGGGGGAAAAAAAAGACAAAAAAAAAAAAAATCCTTGCCCTTATAGAAGTATATTCTAGTGGGATCAGTAGACACTAAGCAAAACAAAACAAGTCAGTATGTCTATAGTATGTTAGATAGAGTAATATTTACTGTAGTGATAAATACTGATAAATATGAGAGTAAAAATAAAAAGAGGGAGATGTAAAATATTATAGAGATAGGTTAAAATTTTAGGTAAGATAACCAGGGATAGGAAAGATGTAAACAAGGGGAAATTTTTTAAAAATGGAAAGAAAAGACCTGCAAGAAGTAAGGGGATGCTCCCTGAGGCTATATGTGGGAAGAGGATTCCAAGGAGGGGAGAAAGCAACCTGTGCAAAGGTCCTAAGGTGTGCATTGGGTGGGGTGTTCAGGGAGCAGCAGGAGAACTGAGATAGCTGGAGCAGCAAGACAGAGGCAGCGGGGAGCCAAGGTGTCCAAGGAAGAGAATACAGTCATGGGTCCTTTGTTTCTGTTTCTGGTTGGGCCAATAAAGCCCCTTCTTCATCCCTCTTTTCTGCTTATCACTAGAGACAGAAACTAAAAACCATAGCTTCAGATGCTAAAAGCCTAAAATAAAACACAGCGAAACAACAGCAACAACAAATAAGTCAGCCTGTACAAGCTTGGAAGGTAGGACTCTTTAGTAACTCTTTAGTAAACACGGTAAGGGTTTTGGCTTTTACTCTGAGTAAGATGGGAAGTTGTCACTGGTATTGAACAGAAGAGTCAGTACACTCAACTTACATTTTAACTCAACTGCTGCAGCTGCCCTATTGAGAATATGCTGTGATTGGGAAGGGAGCAAGAGTAGACATAGGGGGAGCAGTTAGGAGACTTGAAATTATCCAAGTGAGAGATGACTGTGACTTTGGACCAGGGCGGTAGCAACAGTGACAGAACCTATCACATCTGGTAATTGGCTGGAGTGCATCATGTGGCCAATCTAACCTATTTAGCTTAACCGACTATAAAATCATTTTTCTTTAAGCCTCTAAATCTACTCTCCTGTTTATCCTGTCACGAAACAAATAGTGACTAATAGCATAATTAGTAAAAATCCATGACCCGTCCAATGACATTGCACAAATACTATTCCTGTGTTCCTAAGAACATAGTATGTGATTTCTGTCTACCTTTACAGATAAAGTACAATCTTAATATTCCCAAAGCCCTTACCAAAAATACGACCAATGAAAGACATTCTGATCATTTTTTGCCTATTTTTTATAACAGTCAGGAAAATGTACAACTTGGTTCATTCCAACTATCTTGTAAGGAGATTAACCTTGTACTGATCCATTTTGCCCTCATATAAGTACCCCGTTGTAGGCACACAGAAGCAAACATAAAGAAGTCATTATCAATTATGAACTGATGAGGTAGATTTTTGCAAATTGAGATTCAGGTCAGATCTAGCCAATCTGTTAATTTTTTTACAGAATAGGGGAAATAAATGTTGTTTTTCTTCAATACTCTACTGTCAAAGTAATTATATTTTATTTATCTGATTCAAGTCAAAAGGCTTCCATTAGAAAGTCTGTATTGATCTTGGGATTCAGAGCCAGAAGCCAAGACTTGGAATTCATGAGTTATTTATTCATTTTTTTCATTTAATAAACATGTATTAGTTTTCTCTTTTTATTTGTTTTCATTTCAAAGAGCCAGGTAGTTTACTGTCTTACTAAGAATGAGACAGTTTTTCCACTGAATGAAGGTATTGTCGGCTTAGCCTCTGGAAAAGCTTTGTTCCCAGGGCCCTGACTTACTGCTGTTTGAACTCACACACATGGAAAATACAGACATGCAGATTCAGGCATTGGGAATTGAAGGACCCAGGCCGGGAGATTTAACAGGCTCAGCTTGTCAACCTAACCTTTAGCAGCAAATTTTATAGCCACATATTCCATTTCTTTCTGTTCTATAGTGTTGAGTTGTCATACCTTCTCATTTTTATCAAGTTCACTAAAGGAGGAATGAGAGTTTTTTGGATTGTTCGCTAATACCTTCCAAAAGTTAACTGACCACATTATATTAAAATTGAAAAATATCCCATTCACAATGATTTGATACTGTAGCTTTGGAAATCTTATCTTTAAAGTATTTCTTTACAGCCAAGAAAATGATAAATATGGAGCAGCATTAGTATTTTCTAAATATTGGTCACATAGAGTAATGCAATTTTAGAAATGAAGGGGGAATCGATCCTTAACAGTTTAGCAGCCTTCCTTTACATAAGATTAGACTAAGGCTCAGAAATTTAAATGACATCCCAAGGTTGTAGAACCAGAAAGGAAAGCCAGGTTTCTTAATTTTTAACTTCAATGCTTTTGGCTTTCAGTAATTTTAATTTCAGAGTTCATATTGGCTAAGACGGTTACCTTGACTTCGCCTAATACTTAGGTTCCAGAAAAAAATAAATAAGCACAGATAACTTCTGCAGTTTGTAAAACTTGGAGATGTCCCAGGAAACACAGAATAAAATGTTTCAATATGGTATCCTAGGAGAAGGTTTTTACCCCACCTCATAATTAAATCTGAAAGATTCCTACAGCGAACTAAGAGGTTTCTAATGAAGTACTAAGCTGCATTTAGAATTTGAGCAATGAAAGGCTCTTTGTTCTGCTTTCAAAAGGTTCCAGTATTGAACAATTTGGCTCTCAATACAGGCATGTTTCAGACCACCTGCAGACTCTAATCTACGCAAATTTATTTGGTACAAACTTTCTTCTACGTCACCTTCTTATTCAGTATAATTCCAGAGAGGTTTATTGCTAACATTTAACAGTATTAATAAGAGAACAGCTGCTCTCATGGGGACTGTCCTAAAAGGAACAAAGAGGAAAATTGAGCTTTTGTTAGCTGCTTCCCTATGAATGTACTGCCATCAATGTGTAACTTTAAGTAATCACCTTGAACTGAAGAGTGTTTGCTACAACTGTGATTCAAACCTGTCCTTCAGCCAGGGTCCTTTGTAACTCTTGATTCAAAGGATTCGATTAAAAAGTATATTAATTGTAAAAAAAATTCTCAATAGAATTTGATTTGTACTTAACTATAACAAAAACAAACTAGAAAGAGACAGGTTGAGGTAGAAGAGTAATTTTTAAGTTGCTTTTAAAAAATCTGATGTAATAATATATTTTATTGACTTTCATAGAAAGAATTCAAATTTATTTTAATTTCAATTATATCTATTGCCTTGTTAGGAAGCTTTCAAATAAGGAATTGATGTAAGGGATCATGACCTGTGCTCCATACACTTTTGCCTATGTCCTGTTCTTCAAACTTTGCTTGGAATACTTCTGGCCCCTTTTCACCCAGTGTATTTAATTCTCATTACTTAGATCCAGCCCAGGCACCAGGACTTTAAAAAAAAAATTCTACCTAATTTTCTACAGTTTGAGTCTTTAGTGTTGCCATGGATTGACGTATCAAAGAGATTGCACCAGACATTTGTTAAAAATGGCAATGAAAGCTTTATTGAAGACTATTGTGATAGAGGAGACAGATGATAGAACTCTGTTGAAGCAAAAGGCAGGAGGGGAGTTAAATGCTGCTGTGAGCTAGTGAAAAAGGGCTGGAGGACATTATGGGGGCGTTGGCTAGTGTGATCAAGCCACCTGTTAATTGGTACGTACTAAAGCTGGGCTCCTACCTTCCCACAGAGACTAAGAGATAGGCCTGCCTGCTGGCCTACCTTTCTTCTTTCCTTCCATCCCTTCTTCCTTCATTTAAACCTTTTTTTTAAAATTAAAATTTTATTTTGTGAGACTGTAAAGCTAGTTAGAGGCTGGGAGAAGATTTACCTATATTCCAGAGGGGCAGAGAAAGAATTTGCTGTTACAGGTTTTCTAAAGTAAATGCTCTCACAAGAGGGAGGTCAGAGTCCTACAGTCTAGAAGTCTAAAACTGAGTCAAACTGAGAGGAATGGCAAGCCCATCTTGGTCACAAGAATATGTCTGTCATAAAACATAGCAAATGTATTTCAGTTTTTATCTTCTTGGCACTCTCTCTTAGAGAGAGAGTATAAGCTCTTTTAAGGCAAGCTCTGAGCCTAATTGATCTTTGTTTCCGAAGCATCCTGGAAAGTATTTGCCAGTTAGAGTCCATCTCTTGAAGAAATGATGAATAACCATAAATATATATTTTTTATTTTTTGCTTTTGACTCCGCCTGTGTTCATTTCCCTCAGCACTCATTCAATTTAATAATTGTTGTTCTGTGTCTATATGGTTCAAAATTAATTCAAGATAATTTAATATCCTTTTTCTTCTCTATATTTTAAAAATTTATTGTTTTGTAAAGTGTAAGAAATTTCTGTAGCGTATTGCAATAAAACTGTTAAATGAATGACTAGCACTTCCACAAACATGTTGGTAGATGTCCTCAAAGTTCCTTTGTCACCTCCCATATCAATTGGCTTTGTTTTATTGTTTCATTATTGTGCTAATCAAGTTTTTCTTTTATTTTCTTCTATTTACTGTAAGTCATATCTACTTCATTAAGTAGACCCAAATATCCCTTTTGATCTTCCTGCTA